TCATAAATATATAAAATATTTGATTAAGAATTTCAAATTTTTGATATTTATTACGCGTATTGATTATATTTCGTTGTTGATAAAACTCGAAGAAACGTTTGTGTTATTTGGATTCCCATCACTGTTCGATTCCACGCAAAATCCGAGATAAGAGGGACACAGAATATTGATATTTAAAGATTTAGTTATATTAATCTGCCCCCGTTTCCTGAAAAATACAGGAAGAAGCGAAGAGTTTTATCGACGAATTAATCTCGCGTTGTATAGAAAGAACATCGAAGACATCGATATTTCATCTGATTTTTCTCTGTTTCTGTTTCTTTTTCTTTCTCTATTTCACCTTATATGATCTAAATACATATTTACAAAAACCTCGATAAACGAACGCTAATCTCATAACGTTCGCGGATGCAGCAGTGGTCCAAAAGCGGCACGTCAAAAAGCCAGACCAGCTGATGGACAGAATTTCCATTTTCATGGCAATTTCGAATAGATCGAATGTTGATCCGTAAATCGTTAATTTGTGTAGGTGAATTACGCGTTCAGGATTGATTTAGTAATTGTATAGCAATTTATTATAATTACACAGTAAAAATATATAATATTCAGAATATATAACGTGTATATATAGCATTATACGAAATATATATATATATATGTATATATTTCGCATAATGCTACGTTGTCGCGGTTAATGATAATTAATAAAATATTATACCAGCGCTATAATATTACTACAAGCGTGTAGAAGAATTGCGACTCGTTGCGCATTCTTTGCGCAGAGAAGGTACCGTATAATTCACCACCATCATCCGTACTTAGCCCTCCGAGAACACCGAGCTCCTTATCGGTTACATGCTCTTACCAACTGGAGAAAGGTGGCCGCTTTGCACAGCTGCTCTGTTTCAGGATCTTTTTATTTTTATCTGACGACTATAGTTCCTGCGAAGGGTAGTTACTCGGCGACACGTAGCCGTAGTGTATCGACCGTATGCAAATCCGCGACCTATACGCTTTTAAATATGCGTACTGTGAACATATATTTTTAAGAATGCATTTCTGTTTACGAGATAGAAAATAATTGTACAGTTTACTGTAACGGTTTTATTGAGACGAAAGATGAAAAGCTGAAAACAAGCACTGCTTGGCCGATTTCGGTGTTCTTAGGGCTAATGTTCCAAAGAGGTTTTCGACAAGGCCTGATTACGTCCGCCCAACGCTGTCTAGACATTCAGTAACCACTTACGGAAGCTTACTGATGCATCGTCAACGGCACGATTAAGATCTTCTTTTTTTTATATTTAAAAAGCCTGGCCAACTTATCGTCGTCTCGTTGCGACTCTCATGAAAAAATACTATATATTATACACACGTATTTATATTTTACGTACTACATGATTGAATCGTGTGTTCTATACAATGGATCAATCGATCGTCAAAAATATTTTTAAGAGCGACCGCGCAGTCTCACGGCATCCTATATGTATATTTACAAAAAAAAAAACAAATTTATCATTTTACGCGTATAAGTACCTCTTAACCCTTTCGCGATTATCGCAGATTCGCACGTGCATTTATTGTGTCTTCAGTTTGTACTTCACACTCCTACGAATTCAATTTTTGACAGATTTTCTACGCTAATATTATAGTATTAGGGCTGCGTTCCGTTTCACGCGTGATGTGCATAATGCATTATTTATCCTTGTTTAACATTCGGTGAATAACAAGGATAAAAGATGCATCATGCGTATGCGTGAAACGGAACGCAGCTTAGTATAGTACACTATACTATAGCAATTTTTGAAAATTTTCTCTATATTGTACAAGTTCCATTCGAGAAAATGCGATAAAATCTCGCCGGATTATTCTCGGAATTTCGATGAAGTCATCAGGATTTTTCAGAAAAACTGGATCTCTTCTCAGAGTCGTATCTCTCTTCTCGATCGTGTAATTGTCAATTAACTCTCGAAAATCGACTGCCTGAAGAATCGTTATCATATATCTATAACATTAAAATTTGTTGTCACATAAAGTGTTCTAAAAGTTAGCATCTATAAAAGTCTTTAATTTCGGTCATTCCAAAAATCCGGCTCATCGAAATCCAAAATCTCGACGGAAGAGAAAAATGCAGGAAACTACGATCCAAACGTTGATCTCGCAACGCGATTCTATTATTATTATTACAGAATTGTACTCTGCTAACTCGATTGTATATTCTCGTACGAATAGGTAATCTCAAAAGTATAACTGGCAAACGCTCCGAGGGCGACTCGAGTAAATAGAACTGCAGACACATAAAGGCCGAACGTTCAATTTTATAATTTAAGATTGCACCTTGTTTTAACAAACCTTACTAATTCGCATTATTAATTCGCTTTAACTTAGCGAATATTTTTCATTTCGCATCTTTTTCACTGTAGAGTGAGCTTACTTTGCAAATATTATTGTTTCAACTCTCAAACAACAAATGTAATGATTCACTTCTCTTAACAATGTCCAGCGTATTAAAAAATTCCACAACATTGTCATTAATATATTAATGATACAGTAATTATGTCTCTCTAATCATTGAAAGTGCAAACGGTGCTTACCGTATTCATTGTCAAATATAGCGCATTGCATGTGAATATAAAAGTAGGCGTCATGAAAAAATTGTCCTTTTCAGAGTTAGTTACTATAATTTCCTCGATCCGTTATTAAAATTTAAATAAGGATGCAAAGAACGATATTTGCTGAATTTTGGCTAAATATCCATTTTTATAAAAAAAAAATCATCTCTTGATATACAGCACCTTGTTTCGTATCACTTCGTTCATCAGATTCTTTCTGCAGTAGAGGAAAAAGAAGAAACGAATACTATATCAAGCTAATTGCCATATTGACACATAAGCGAAACAGTACAAGGAGCGAGTGGTATTTCTGTTTAACAAAGATAGCACGTGGCATGCGACTCTGAGTTCAGTTATGCAACATTTATGTTCGATAATTATTTGATCATGTTAAATATAGTGTTACGTGACTCTAGGCAGCAATGTACAATATATATATAATTACAATATTATAGTCTCTTTCTTTATAAATTCAAGTACGATTTCTCACTGACTTTTTATTTAAATAAAGTATCGAATTTTTGTTACAAAAAAATAAAATTAATTGATAAGTCGCACGTCACGAGCTCTCTCTATAAGTACATTTCTCGACCATTTAGGCCCGAGTCTTGCGAGTCAAATTTACATAAGCTCTAATACGAATCGATATTATCGAATCATCATAATCCTCATCAATAAAAGGGATAGTGAAGATATTTATCCTTTTATTAATGTTTCAACAGAAGCTTATCGCTACATTATCTGAATGCATACCGTAAATTTGCATTTTAATATTTTAATATCCCGTTAAGCTTCATTAAGAAAATTCATCCGGTTTTCTCAGTTAATTTGACGTTAACGTTTTTATTTTTGTCATTGTAGCGGTTTTATCCCTCGGGCGCTTTTTCTAACTTAGCGAACAGTCTGTTATTTAAATAATTGATTTTCTTGCGAGCTTTGATGGGATTAATTCTTTATTGCTCGTTACATCCGCGATATTTCAGGTCAAAGCATCTGACTGCATCGCAAATGTCTATTCTATAAACGCGTTAAAGGATATATCGATTAGCGAAGTAAAAACACGACATGTTGTGTTCATCATCGACTCACTACGACAAAATCGAGTGAAATTCTCTAAAAGCTGTATCCCTAAAGAATGACTCGAATATTATCTTTATCTCCATCTCGTTTTTTTTAGCCAAATTACATTATCATTATTTATCTTACGTCATTTCATTGATTATTAAAAAAATTTGACTCTCCGAACATGAAAATAGTGTTTACTCCTCCTTTTTTGTTATTTAAATATCGAAACGCGCGTTATTGTTACTCGGGTCATTAACTTACGACTTAAAACTTAAGCTGTATAAACTTGAATCTACCGCTTTTTGTAACGCGATTTACATTAACGAGTCGTGTGAACGTAAATGTTAGACACACGTTCTTAAAACCATATTTACAATATATACAACAAATAACTTTTTATCTTGATCACTTCCGCGTTTAATGCCACTTAGTGTGATTATTGCATCGATCCATTTCTCTTGTTCTCGTTTTTCCTCTCATTCTTTCTCTCTTTCATACTTTCTTTCTCTCTCTCTCTCTCTCTCTCTCTCTCTCTCTCTCTCTCTCTCCCTCCCTCTCCTGCTAGTAAAATGTAAGCGTAATTACAATTCGGAAATTCACAGAAACCGAACGGCAGTCGGATCGCGTTTTAATGGGAGGAATTTTTGAACAAGGCACAAGTATTGCCTGTTATAAAGGTTAAAAATTGCAGGCTACAAAATTCATCAATCTACATCACTTTTAGGTCGCGCGCGCATTTAACGACAATGTGCTTTTTTATTTTTTTAACGATCTTAATCAGATCGATGAAATATTTAATCGCGTGTCATGTATTATAACAAATAGATGCATAAGAAATACAATAAAAGTGGAGAAAATGCTGTTATAATATAAATTATATTAATATATAATATATATTATAAATAAAAAATAATAACTAAAGGGCAAAGTAA